TTTTAAATATTAACAAAATAAATTGTTATCTATAATTTTTTAATATTGTTATATTAATAAATAATTCAAAAATATCTAATTAATTTAATATATTTATATGTCAAGTAAAAAGTTTTTGAACAGATATAATATATTCTTTAAAAGATAATATTTTTTTGGTAAAAAAGAACAATTTTTATTTTCCTTTTTTTTCCTTCAAAAAACATATATTTTTTGAAAAATATTAGCGAGATAAGTTGTGTTCTACTAGTTTTATTGATATTGGTATATTAATGAATAATTTATATTTTTTTAATTCATTTAATACATTTATTAAATAACATGTAAAATATCTAAATATTAAAATTAAAAATATAATGTTTAATAAGAACTAGTAGATGTTATAATAAAATAAATTTGAAAGTACATGATATAGTAAGAAAGTTACATCACTATAATACATGTGGACAGTCTACGTGGACAATGAGGTGGCATGAAAACCTAGTATAATGGGTAAATTTAAATCAAAAGATTACCCAATGATATAATRGGTAAATTTTTCAAAGTACAATGTCCTAATAAAAAATAGTTTGAAAGTACATTGCTGTAATAAGAAAAACTTAAAGTACAATGCTATAATAAAAAAAATTATGAAAGTAGATTGTTATTTTATGCATTTTGCCCTATTAATTAATATTTATTAATATTAGCAATATTTAAATTTTAATACGATTAATTTATAATTAATATTAATAAATAAGAATTAATATTAATGAAAGTTCCAATTGAAAAAAGTAACAATAAGCTACTAAAACGCTATTGCAAGTAACGTTTTCAATAAGTTAGTTTATATATATATTTAAACACGTATCCGAAGAATAAGCTAGTTTATGTTTGCTAAATAATACCCAAGTACCAGTATTTCAACACCAATTTTGACATTAACAAATATTAGAATATTTATATACGGTAAATGCAACAAATAAACTCACACACACCCTCCTCACCTTTGGTGAGGTTTGAAACCTTGACTTCCTAAGAGACCAAGGACTACGATATCGTTAGGCCGAATGCCCTTTGGTCTAGAATAAAAAATTTGATGTTATACTATTTACCAAAATACTAGAATAGTGCTCAGGTGAGATAGAATTGGTACAAAATTTGGATTTGATGTCGGGTACTTGAGTTGGAGAAGATGCCATCAAGAAATAAAAAGCGTTGTAATTTAAAATAAAAATTGCAATAAAATTTTAAAATTACTTTTTAAAAAAGAGTCGAAATTGTAATTATTAATGAATAAAAATATTAAATTAAGATGGAGACCAAGAGACCGTTTGATAGTTGCTGAATGATTTGAGTCAGAATAATTAAGAGACTATTATAATGTAGTACAAAATTAAATAAAATTGTTTGGTAATTATTCAGAATGAAATTTGGGTGTTGAATGGTTAAGAGAGACCCAAGATACAAAATCATTTAGAGGGTTTTAGAACCATTAAAAAACAAACTTTTTTTTTTACCGAACAAGATTCACCTCTTACCGATTCAGATGTTGTTTACTTAATGACACTATTAAGAGGTAAACAAACAACCCCTAAACCAAATACATAGGTTTTGATACAACTCAGAGGACCTTAGCGTCCATCATGAATCATGTCATGCTCCATCTTCCATAACAAATTTTAATTTTTTTATATAACAATTCTACAATCAATATATTTCATTCGAAGATAAAATGTAAGATATACACAGATTTTTACTCCTACAAACAGGTAACGAAATCTTATGGATTATCATTTTTAAGTATATAATATTTATATACGACAAATTAAACGAATAAACTTACACATCCTTATCACCTTTGTTGAGGTTTAAACCCCTAACCTTCTAGGAGGCCAAAGCCTATGATACTGAAACTCTTTGATTGGATTATCAACTTGTTTACATGATTATAAGCTACCAATGAGTGATGTGCAAAAGAAAATGAATGTCCGTACATTTGATCCCTATTTCATCAGGAAACATGAAACACGATATGTTTTTATATATTTTATATGGTATTCATGTGACCGATCGGTAAAAATGAGTTAAAGACGTACTGACTTTTATCGAGGGTAATTAACTCAAATAACCATATTGACCAAACACTTTTACAAAATAACCACAATTTTTTTTTTAAAAACGTTCATTGACTAGCAAATCTGACATTGCAAGTTTACTTTTGTTTGTTGTGTCGGATTTTTTCTGACAAAAATCAAGGAAAAAGATCTAAAAAAATAAAAACCGCAAGCCAAAAAATAAAAAAGCAAGTTATGGTCCCCCTCTTCAGAATCAAACATAAAAAACAAAACAAAACAAAAGTAGGCTTGCGGTTTACCTTTTGACTTGTTTTTTATTTTTATTTTTTAGCTTAACAAAAGTAGGCCTGTGGTTTACTTTTCCTGACACCGCAAGCAAAAGTAGACTTGCGGTGTCAGAATTGCTAGTCATTGGACATTTTTGAAAAAAATAATATTTTGATGGCTATTTGAGATTGCTTATAAAAATAATTTATTGACTTATTTCAATGTAACACCGGTAATAATCACTTTTGAGTGTTTGGATAAACAGCTTATACCGGTACCAAACCGGTAATAAGAAGTTTTTAAAAAAGTTAAATCATTGTAACTTATAATAAGTTGATAAAAACTTTTATAGAAAAATATAAGTTGTTTCAAATAAGCAAATCCCAAACCCCCCTTAATTACCCCTTTTATCCATATCGTTGATCAACAAACGATCATGTCTATTTTACCCTTTAAAATACCGGTGTTACCTTTTGGACCCCGTTTAGGTCAATTCAGAAGCTTGAAAATGTATAAATAAATAAATAAATCATGTTAATGTTGTTATAGCCTTATAGAAAATTAGTAAGAAAAGAGTTTAAATAAAACATGGTACATTTTTTACATCATACATGACCATGTTACACCCATTAATTAGTTTTAGTTTGTATCAATCAAATAATCCACAACTTCCAGGTAGAAACCTTCGCCACGATTCTGCAACATTGACAAGCATCGTTAAAAACTATGTATATCTTCAATCAGCTTACACGTAACATGTAACAACCCGTCCCACATGGATAAAGATGTGGACTTGTGAGCCAGGGACGGACCCAGGAATTTTTTCAAACGGTGGCACTATTTGACTATAAGAAAGAAAGTATAGGGAAAAAATTTCAAACGGTGCCACTGTTTGACTATAAGAAACAAATATACGGAATTTTTTTTCAAATGGTGGCAACATTTGGCTAATAAAATGACACTAACAGGATTCGAACTTGGGTCTGGGGTGGAATAAAAGTCTTGCAAACCAACCCTACCAAATAAAACTTGTTCTCATTGTAGTTTCAAAATACATACAGTGGCATGTGCCACCTATACCACCAAAGTAGCTCCGTCCCTGTTGTGAGCTCCTTATAAGTTCAAAGTTGTAGAATACCAATAACTTCTACCATTGTTTTAAATTGAATTTAAACTTATTAGGCCTGTCTGTTGATTTGTAGGCCCCACCTTCATTCCTCTAAAATGGACCCATAATCATATCACATATTCATTCTCTTTGTAGCATATAAATGAAAAGGATATAAAGGTGGAATAATTAGGGTTAAGAAACATGCCTTTTATGTAGTTATTGTGATCAACTGACTGAAGATTTGGCAGCTTGAAGCATTTCAACAATGAGTGTCTTCACATCCCTATAAATGTTGGAAAAGAACATAAAAACATGAATAATAACGAAAGAATTCGACTCAAAACGAGTAGCGTGTCGCAACATATTTCGAGACTCACTTTCTGTCTTCTGCTTGCCTAGGGAATGGAATCCGAAGCTTAAAGCTCCTCCCTTGATACCCAGCCTAAAATAACATTTGTAAAACAAAAGTTAAGAATCATTAAACAAACCGAAGAAGAAACCAAGACTTCTTTGGCCATCCCATGAAAACTACAAAAAAATTCCATCTTGAGATGCTATGCGAAAATTGCCACATTTCCTTTTTCGTCAAATTTTCAAGCTAAATTTATGCATCTGCTCAGTTACTTTTGGTTCACAAGATAATCTTATTTTGTCGTTATTGAACAAATTCATCAATAGTCAAAGCAAATGACCGATATACAATACTATTATATGTTGAATCTATTGCAATTTTCATTGGACGGAAGAATTACGAGCATAATCAAGCACGGCTCATAGAAAACACCGCTGTCTATGCATGATAAAACATTTCCACCATACAAGAAAATGAATGTTTCATCCTAGAGATGTTGTTTGATTCTAATTCATTCAGGTAAAGAGTGGATTTTTTATTTAATTTGTGAACGAAATAGAAGGCAAATTTTAGCGTCCTCAAGGCGTGTTTTGTAGAGTTGTATAAACCCTGGTAAAGTAATCAAAATCAATTGTAATGGCCAAGATTCAACTGGGAATGCTGATCCGATGGATCGATTTGACCAATAGCAATCCTGGAAAGAACATGCATTAAGAGAATCTTTAACACTCCAGAGAAGTCTGTTACATAAGCATCTGATTAGAAATTTAGAACCTATTGTTTGTACAACGTTGTAAGGACCAAAAGGGATTAAGTTCCTATACTTAAGCATCAAGTTGAGATGGTATTATTTGTATGCTACTATAGGGACCCAAAGAGATCCAAGATTCTATATCAAAGCATTGGGATAGGATCAAAGATGATATTAGTTGCTTATGGATGAAAACAGTAAAGTCTATTTAAGGATAAACAGCTCAGGTGAGTTTCATTCATCAATTTTTTGAGCCTCAATGTTCAATTGTTTGGCTCAGGAATTTGATTATTCATGTTATCCTCGTATTAATTTGTCATGTACCTACCTTAGGCCCAACCCGTTCCTAAGTGATATTCTAGAATGGTCAAGAAGGGGTATTTTGGGTACTTCTTAGAGCAAGTAATTAGAATAAATAGGTAGGATGCAGTAGATGAGAGTCATGCCGAAAATTAGTGAGTGGTCTATGGGAGAGTGCTAGCCTCCCGAATGCTAGAGTTTACGTTTGTTTTCCATTCAAGTATCCATTCAATTAATTTGTTTCCATCTATGTTCTTAGTTTGTTACTGATTTAGATTCCAGTTCATAGCATAATTTCGTTGTTTCCCAAGTTGTATTCAATTGTATGTTCATGCTTCTACGATGTACTTCAAGAGTATGACTATGTGCACTAGGAACTCCTATGCTCATTATAGCTTCCGCTAGTTTGATGATTTAAATGAGACGGTGTATCTATGAGAAATGATGTTTTATAAGGTTTCGGCTGATTGGAATCAAGAAGGTAGAGTTAATCCATGATAATACATTTATATGGTAGGAAGTAGGTGAATGAGAAGTGGCCAGTGGGGTGCTTCAGTTGCTAACAAAGACATTAACATCACCTTTACATTGAACCCAAGGCTATCCATATCCAGCATGTGTGCAAAGTCCACCTGGAAAATCAAATTGTCGTAATAAGATAATGAGAGTATGAGACAGTTGCTAGCTTGCAGATCCTACTCCGAGTGGGGTACATTGGGTATGTTTGGTTTGGTTTTAGACTGTTGCTATCTCGCCAAAAGCCAGTGTCTGTATTTGCATCAGGACTAGTTTTACATATTTACCTACCCTATAGTAAGGGCAAATAATGTATTTCATAAATCCAGTTGAGTATATTACTCAAGATTGAATGAGAAAATTTAGTTTCTCTTTCTAATAAATATGGGAAGTTATGTACACCAAGAGAGCTCAAGATTATGGATTACCGGAACTGATGTCGAGTGCTGAACCATGAGTTTTGTATCATCTGAATGGTCTTTATTCATGTGAGACTGCAGCGTCACATTATAAGTTGGTTAATGGCAAATATAAGTATATAACAAAAACTATAGTGAACATAAAGAAAAATAAGAAATTTTGAGATGAGCAAGACAAAAAAAGGGTCAACGTCCAGTATGCGTCTCCTCGGAAATTTAGCAGCAGTAGTGGGGCCATACCGTAACAGGCTTAGAAAATTGAGAGATTGGATCCACCTTCGCTGCTCTGAACTCCTCCTTTGTGAACTCTGAGATAATTGGGGAACTTGACAATTCAAGAGCGAGAAGAATATGAAAATCATAAAGCGTACTAATTAGCTACTGGGATTTCCCTTTAAAGCCATATCAATCACTTGGCCAATAGCAACATTTAGCCATTGGAAACAACTCCTATGATTGTTGAAGTGAAATTGGTGCAAAATAGATATTCCAAATGCATCATAATCACTATCAAAAAGAAAAAAAGTTTAAAATTTAGCAAGTGAGTTTCAAATAGACAAACCTCCTGATCCTAATAAAGCGGTAGCAACACCAGAAACAAATCGCACAACTTTTGGTTCAATGCGCAGAAATTGGAAGTCACCAAAGTCAACCTTCACCATAAACAAGTCTTGGTGTCAAGTTAAAATGTCAGATGGATGTAAACGCAAGAAGGACATGAGATCTCAAGCAAGGTATTAGGTTATAACAAGTTCTACCCAGAATGCATCAGGATGCCTTGCCAAGTATGCAGTGCGTATAATGTCTGTATCCTCATTAGGAACCTTCAGAATTGATCAAAACATATGAATGCCAATGATCAATTTAGTATTCGAGTTAAAGGAAAATTTTCAACCATGAAGTTTAAAGAAAGACCAGATGATGAATAGGAGATGCTGATGGCAACTGAAAGTAATCATGCTGAAGGTTCAAGAATCAGAGAGAATAGCTACTTACAGAAACAGCATCACCATGTACGATTATAACTAAATCTGTCCTATCCTCCGGATCTTTTGCCACAAGCAATGAGCATTTAGAATTAGCTAGGAGGTCCTGCAAAAAGCCACCAACTTCAATGATGAGTTCCAAATGAGGGACATTAAAAATGTAAACCTCCAACAAGAAAACATCTTTTAGTTATATGTTGTCTGACTATAAAAGTCACTCATGTTTGAAAACCTTGGTATGAACTGCCAAACTGCTGACTGCTAATATGGGAGATCCATAGGCATCACATGCAAAATCAACCATTGATCCTGATGGATAACCATCGTGCTTCTGCAAAGCAAATAAATTTGTAATAATTGAGAACAGAACAATAGGAAAACAATGAGGCGAAATGAATCTAATTTAGAGCATGAATACTGTGCCAATATTTAAAATAAAGAGTCCATATCATCCATTTATTACAATTTAGAAATTGAGGTATCCACTCCAAGAGTACACTAAAACTTTGGCTTTCCAGTCAAATAGATAATTTTCAAATTTGATTATGACCCGATTATACTTTTATCATGAAGATTAAAAGCGTGTTACCAGGAGTCCGAATTATACAAGTAACAAACACCTTTCTTTCCTCCAACTTACATAATTGTCAATTACCGATCCTAAAAGTGGCTCATTTGAGCACAAAAATCATCTCTAATTTTTGCAAAGGAAGACTTTGTTTGCAAACCCTTCTAGTTGATCATAACATAAATCCCATGTATATAAAACACCCTATTCTACAAAAATATACTATCCAAAACTTTTGTAAATTAAGAACAGAACCGAAAAGAACCTGGGAAAAAGTGGAAAGGACACCACGCATGCCATGATGAAGGATAGTCTTGACCTCTTCAATGGGAGGCAGTCTAGCAGCCCTTTCCTACAACGGCAAACAATACACATATCAATCAAGAGCGCGCGCACACACACGTATTTGTTTGTATCTTTTTCAAAGAATGAATACGATAAAACACACACACAACATTGTGTCATAGGAGTACCTGATGAGCTTTAATGAGTTCAAAGACATCAGCAGTAGCATCACCGGATGAAGCACTCTAATGAACCAAGAAATCAAGAATTGAATTAAGCAAATTTCAGACAACAAATAAATCCACAATCATACTTAGGGGGAAAAAATAGGCGTAGTTCTCAATCATTTTCACGGTTTTAGCGAAATCGATTAAATTTGAATTAGAATTCTATGAAGTTTACAAACACACTGCACTAAAACTTCCACAGTGATACGAAATCTTCACACGGCGGATGGAAAAGCAAATTTATCATTAACCATAAAAACCAACGAGAACTGGAATACAACTGAAGCTAATCAAAAACCTGCGAAGGAGCTTGAGTGGATGAAGCCATGGCGGAGATAGGAGGACGGCGGCGACTGGTGGAGGTTGCAGAGAAGATGTAGGAGGATCTGGAGTGAGAAAGGAGTGGTGGAGTGATTCCACAACTGCTACTAATTCGGCCATTTTTGTAAATCAATAATCGATCAAGATCATGAATTCGTGAAGTTGCTGAGGAGATTGAGCATCGAAGAGTCGAAGGTGCCACCAGCGTCTTCATCTTCCCCGATTCTCTCCCTCACACGCTTCCATTTCTCCGTTTTATCAATAATATATCTTTTAAATTAAAAAACAAAATATAATTTTTAATGAAAATAATATTTTGTAAACCATGTATTTAAATATTTATTTTAACTAGAAAAGTATTCGCACAATGCAGCGAGACACATTTCGATTTTAATATTCTATTTTATTATTTGTCTTTCTCGATGTTATAATTCGATTTTATGTGTATTTAAGAAAACAATAATAATTTTGTTTTTTAATATATCATAAAAATTTGGAAAAAAAATATATTAATGTTAATATCAAATCAACTACTTAAAAGTTCTCATTTTTTATGTAATTTCTTTAATTTATTTTTTTATTGTAATTTAATTTAAGTTTAATAACGAATAAGTTTATTTTTGGTTTAATAATTTAATATTTTATAAAGATAATAATTAAGTATTATGTTAGTTATCAATGATTATCCTAATTATATTTTAGATTTTTTATATTTAAAATGAGATATATATCTTGTATTTAATTTATGTTTATTTGCAGTTAGTTATACGAATTTAGATATGGAGTTTTAATAAGTTATACTTACGCATAATCTACTCGCAATATTGAGTTTTAAGTAATATACATTAATAAACAGTATTTTACACATAAAAAATGGTTTTTAAAAGTTTTTGTCAAATACTTTATAATATAGTATAGATAAATTATTATATTTTCTATTTAATCATCCACTAAAAAATTAAACCACTTGAGAAATTAATTATGTTTGTTTATATTAGTCGATAGCATTTTTAATAGATTTTTATTTTAACAGGTAAAAAAGGTTAATTGGTTAAGAGTTATCACCTATGCTCAGGGATGGACCCAGCATGGTGCCGTTGCGGCACGTGCCACAGTGTTATTACTCCATTGAAGGGTAAAAAATTAGGTTTGTAAAAGGTACAACCATATTAATTTGTTGTGTGTCATCGTATGTATTTTGAAACTACATTGAGGACAAATTTCTTTGGTAAAATTGGTTTGCAAGACTTTTCTTCCATCATAGACGCGAGTTTGAATCTTGTTAGTGTTATTTTCTTAGTCAAATGGTGTCATCTTTTGAAATTTTTTCTCTATATTTGTTTCTTATGATCTAATGGAGCCACCATTTGAAAAAAAAAACATGGGTCTGTCTTTACCTACACTTACTAAGTAAGACTCTCGGTCCTTATCATTGTTCTTATAGGATAAGATTTTCAGTATTTGTTTCATTCATCTAGAAAAAATAAAGTAATCCAGTAAATGTCTACAAATGTTTAATAAACGACCGCTTACTACGGTAAATAAAGATACACAAAAGACCGGAGAATTGGGACGTATGCGTGTTGCTTTTGCAAAAGTAACGATAGCACTTCAGAAAAAAATAAAATTGACATTTGATTGTTCCTAGTCAAGACCAGTTGGATCCGTCGGGCTCATATTAGCCCTAATATTTTTTTGGTCAAACTGATTTTTATATGGGATTAGAGATGATCAAAAATCGGTTTCAGGTTAGATCTAAATCGATTTCGGTCTTATAAGTGTTTTCTGTAACCGGTTTCGGTGCCGACCAAAAACCCATGGCCGGTGTATGTGCTTTATAACCGGTTCTGGGATGGGCCCGAACCGGTCCAATTTTAGTTTTTCAAAAATCAATTTTGAACGTAAAAAAATTGTGTTTAAATATATTTTTTGACAACATCTTATTGTAATACACTTTAAAATCTCTAATTGGGTTATTAAAATACACTTTAAAATTTAATTTTTAAATCTTTTTACACGAAAATGTTATAAGTATTTTTATAATTATGATTTTCGAGAATTATTATTGGAACACTTACAAAAACTTGAAGTTTTTGGTATAAAAAAAAACTTGAAATATTGTAAAAAAATCTTGAAAAACTTGATATATAATTTATAAAAACATGTTTATTTTAAAAAAAATCGGGTCTATATATAAACGGTCACGAGCTGGACCGTGAATTTTCCAGAAAAATGTAACCAGTTAATGACCGCCGAGCCGGTCCCGAGCGGAGCCAAGTCCATTTGGCTATCTCTATACGGGACTGATTTGTATTGCATAGATCGGGCTTGCCAAGGACCGACCATCTGTTTTTATGAGTTACAACTAATGAGTAAATTCCAAGTTTTCTTACCGACCCTGCACAAAAACCGTGGTATCTGATATTTTCTGTTCAAATCATTCATAAGATCCATCCATACAAAGTGCACATCCACATGGATTATCAACAAAAGAAAGCAACCTGAATTTATTCTGAACAGTCACGATAATCATAAATCAAAAAAACAAACATTTCTTGCTATCAACCAGATTTCAAAAGATACTCATTTGCGATGTTCATGATGCCGATGAGAGGCTTATTCGTGACAAGAGAAGCATCAGCAGCAACTTCTTCTTTAACGTCATATTCAATTGTAAATTTCACAAGACACGACGACCCCGTGTCATCATTTGGGTTCTCTTTAATCTCGATTCTGCTCCTATAAAACGTAAATCCTAAATCAAGAAATCCCCCTTCCACCACTTCTACTTCTTTGACCTTATTCTCGTCATCAACCTTCGTAAACTTCTCACTATAACGCGAGAAGCGTGAACCTACACATATAACAACGTATAATCGATCATTTCAGTAATCACAAATGATTACTGTATGTTTTAAAAGTGATGGGTATTTTCAAACGCCTATAAATACCTGGCTTTAAAGCAAACCTGAGAATGGTACCAGCACCACCATCACCTTCAACGACTTCAATTGCCTCCACGAATTTTCCAGTCACAGCCTTTCCGAGCTCGAGGGTGCCGTAGAGAGCCCAAGCTTTGCTTGCCGGCACCTTCACTTCGGTCTCCTCCGATAACGTTCCAAACATTTTTGTAACGTTAGTTGACGATACGCACATCAGAGTTTCAATTATTTATATCAATATTAACTTTCTTTTTGTCCTTTTTCTATTCCAAAGATGCCTAATTGGATCGTTTGTCTTTTTCTCCTCTATTTTATATTTCTTTTCATCCGCCATTTTTAATTCCTTTAAAAAATAATTTAAAAATGTTTTAATAATGTTTTTATACGTCACATTACATACGTCTAACATCAACTACTTTTATTTAAATAGAAAATTGGGTTCTTGTTCTCTAAAATATTTCAATAGCTTTTCTTCCTTTTTCTCTAAAACAAAGTATCGTAAAAAGAAAAACTTTAAATATAAATAATTATCTAAGGTGTCATTTACCAAATGTTTATTCGGGTAAGCGTTTATCAAGTCAATTTACTTTACCGGTGAATATGACAAGGACTAAGAATCTTACCCGATAAGAGCAAAGACAAGAATCTCGAGTCTTACCCAGTAAGTGAAAACGAGGACTCTTACCATGGTTAGCGCTTATTGGGATAAATTGTTGCATACAATACATTTTAGTGAATAAAATCTTGTCCGATAAGTAAGCGATAGTGTTGGATTTTACCGGTAAATGTTTACCGGGTAAATGTTTAGGTAAACAGCCCCTAAAACTTGATGTAGGGAGAGAGAAATAATTATTTTATTCAATTCTACCAATGAGATTGAGTTATTATTTTTTATAATTAAAAAATATATATTGAGATGATAAATTAGAGAATACTAGAATGATACTCGCGCAATGCAGCGAGATACATATCGACTTTAATATATCGTTTCTTATTGTCGATGTTATAATACAATTTTATGTGGTTTTAAGAAAATGATAATGTTTTTACTTCTGCATAAGATATAAATATGAAAATATCATAAGAATTTGAAAAAAAAAATATTGATATTAGTACCAAACTAACTATTTAAAATTTCTACCTTTTTGTGTAATTTTTTAAATTAATTTTTCTTATTATAATTTGATTTAGGTTTAATAATGAAGTAATTTAATTCAGATTTAATAATATAATTTTTTTTATAAAGATAATAATCAAGTATTCTATTAGAACTCAATGATTATCCTAATTTTATTTTAGATATTTTATATTTAAAATGAAATGTTTATCTTATATTAGATTGTGTTTATCTGTAGTTAGTTACACGAATTCAAACATGGAGGCGGATGGAGCTTTAATAAGTTGTACTTATGCACAAATTACTTGTAATCTTGAATTTTAAGTATTATGCATCAATAAACAGTATTTTGTGTATAAAAAATAGTTTTTAAAAGTTTTTGTCAAATGCTTTATAATATAGTATAGATCATAATAATATAATTTATGTTAAAATCTCTAAAATAAAAGAATCTCTTAGAGATGAATGTAATTCTTTTTAAAAAAAATTATATTTTGGTTCTGTATTTTGGAAAAATTATAAAAAAAACCGTTGAAAATACTCTAAAGATGCTTAATCGTAACGGAAGGTTAAGGATATCTTAATTGTATGGTATCAAGGTTTTTCTTTAATATAGTGTAATCAATTAATTATAGATGGTAAGTAAAATTATATACCATGTACTTGGTACTGGTTTTGTACCAACTTCAAGTTACATATATAAAAAACTTATTATTTTGTTCAAATTTTAAATGACATTTATAATTTTTATGTAAGTCATGGGTCCATCCTTGCCTACACTAACTAAGTAAAACTCTCGGTTTTTATCATCGTTCTTATCAGATAAGATTCTCAGTATTTGCTATATTCATTAAAAAAATAAGTAATCAAGTAAACGTCTACAAGTGTTTAATAAACGACCGCTTACTGCAGTAAGTGATGATACACTAAAGACCGGAGAATTGAGATTAGAGAAGATCAGAAATCGGTACCGGGTTGGGTCTAATCGATTTCGGCCTTATAATTGTTTTTTGTAACCCGTTTTGGTGCCGACCAAAAACCCTTGGCCCAAAGTGTATGTGTTTTATAACCGGTTCCGGGACAAGCCCGAACCGGTCCAAATTTTTTTTTTTAAATCAATTTTGAACGTAAAAAAATTGTGCTTGAAGATTTTTTTTGGAGAATAGTTTATTGTAATACACTTTAAAATATATAATTGGGTCATTCAAATACACTTTAAATTTTATTTTTAAATCATTTTACACGAAAAATGTTATAAGTGTTTTTCTAATTACGATTTTCGAGAATTATATTGGAACACTTATAAAAACTTGAAGTTTTTGGTAAAAAAAACTTAAAATATTGTAAAAATCTTGAGAATATTCATATAAAATTCATAAAAACTTGTTCTTTTAAAAAAAATCGGGTCTATGTATCAGAACGTGAATTTTCCAGAAAAGTGTAACCAGTTAATGACCGCCAAGCCAGTCCCGGTCCTCCATCGGTCCTGGCCATTTGGCCATCAAACTTATTTTCTATTGCATAGACTGGGCTTGCCAAGGGCCAATCATCTGTTTTTATGAGTTACAACTACTGAATAAATTCCAATTTTTTTTACCGACCTTGCACATAATTTATAGTATCTGATGTTTTTTTTATTCGTATCATTCATAAGATCGATACAAAATGCATATCCAGATGTATTATTAACAAAAGAAAGTAACCTGTATTTATTCTGAACAGTCGCGATTCAATAATCATAAATCAAAAGAACAAACATGTCTTGCTATCAGCCAGATTTCAAAAGATACTCATTTCCGATGCTCGTGATGCTGACGAGAGGCTTATTCGTGACAAGAGAAGCATTATCAGCAGCTTCCTCTTTAACATCATATTCAGTTGTTAATGTCACAAGACACGATGAGCCCGTGTCATCATTTGGGTTTTCTTTGATCTCGATTCTGCACCTATAAAACGTAAATCCGAAATCAAGAAATCCCCCTTCCAGCACTTCTATTTCTTTGACCTTATTCTCATTATCAACCTTCGTAAACTTCTCTCTGTAACATGAGAAGCGTGAACCTATACATATAACAACGTATAATCAATCATTTCAGTAATCACAATAACTATTATATGTTTTAGAAGTGATGGGTATTTTCAGACGCCGATAAATACCTGGCTTTAAAGTAAAGTTGAGGATGGTACCAGTACCACCATCACCTTCAACGACTTCAACTGCCTCCACCAATTTTCCAATCATGGCCTTCTCGAGCTCGAGGGTGCCGTAGAGAGCCCAAGCTTTGCTTGCCGGCACCTTCACTTCGGTCTCCTCCAATAACGTTCCGAACATTTTTGTAACGTTAGTTGACTATAAACATATCGAAGTTTCAGTTATTTATATTAGTATTAACTTTGTTTTCATCCTTTTTTATTCCAAAGATGCCTAATTGGATCGTTTGTCTTTTTCTCCTCTATTTTATATTTCTTCTCATCCGCCATTTTTAATTCCTTTAAAAATTATTTTAAAATATTTTTTAATAATCTTTTTACACGTCACAGATGTATAAGTTCAACCACTTTTTTATAATAGAAAATTGAGTTTTTTTCTCAAAAATATTTCAACAATTTTTCTATATTTTTCTTTAAAACAAAGCATCATAGAAATATAAAGAATTCTCGTTAGGTAGGCATGGGAATGGAGCGGGGACCTTAATCCCTGTTCCCATCCCTGCCGGGGAATATAATCGCATTCCCATCCACATCCCCAACGGGGAACGGGGATCCCCAACGGGGAAACGGAGATTTTTTTCCATTTATGTAAGTTATTTTAAATTAAATAGGTCAGAGACTATACATGTTTAAATCTCAAACATTTTCAATAAACCTAAAACTAAAATGAATTTAATTTAATACAAAAAAAACACAACATCATATAAGAACTAATAACATAAAACAAAAAAAAATCAATTAAATCCAAAAAAACTTAAAGTCACATGTACCAAAAGATAATGAGTAATATAAAACCATATCGAGTAATTGTATTTTGACTTGACATCCAAAATATTACATATTAACATCTAAAAAGTAACAATTTTAGATTATAAACCTAGTTAGGAAATAAAAAATTATGAACTACCATTTTAGTTGAAATAAATAATATACATATATATATAATATATATATATATAATATATATATATAATTAATATATATATATATATATATAATTAATATATATATATATATATAGAGAGAGAGAGATGAGCGATAAAATGAAAACCACCCTCATTTGTACAAACCGTACAAACCACCCTCATACGTCGATTTCATTGTTTAATCTTATGAAATTTTTTCATGAAATTGTTTAATCTTGTGAAATTGTTTCATATAATACTTTTTTTGATGAATTTGTTTCATATATGGTTATGAAATTGTTTCATATAATATTTAATGAAATTTTAATAAAACTGTTTCATGAATTTCTCTAAAATTAAAATAATGAAGATGATAACATACATGATTAACACCCTTCACAATAAAAATGGTTAATCAACCTCTCATAATTACAAAAAAATGAAAAATTATGATTGGTTGAATGAGGTTTTCACGGTTTTTACAAATTGAGTGTTTTTTTGAACGCTCCCATATATATATATATATATATATATATATAACGGGTACGGGACGGGGAGTACCATACTCGTCCTCATCCCCATCCCCGGCTTGAGACAAACGGGGATCCCCATCCCCGATTTAGCGGGGAATCCCCGTCCCCGACCGGGGCGGGTGGACCGAGTTCCCTGACGAGTCGGGGGCCATTCCCATGCCTATCGTTAGGGGTTGTTTGTTTACCTCTTAATAGTTCCATTAAGATGCAGTCTCTAAATTATTAAGGGATGAATCTTGTTTGGTAAAAAAGAAGTATGTCTCTTAATGGTTCTAACACACTCTGGATGATTTTGAATCATGTGTCTCCCTTAACCATTAAGCGTTCTAATTTTATTGTAAACAATCACCAAACAATTATATTTCATTTTGCATCATATCATGAGAGCCTCTTAATCATTCTGACCACTTAATCATTCTGCACCAATACCAAACCATTCAACAACTTC